CCCTAAATACAGTGGGTAGCACGGACTCTCATTTGACTTAAAAAAAAGAAATCGGTGAAATTTGTAACTTTGTGGTCAATTTTATGCCTCGGGACATTTCCTTTTTTTAATGGTTCAAAGTCAAGTAATGTGGTACAAGCCCACAGCCACTTCCTAAGGCAACGTCACAGAAAAAAGCGTGCGAAACGTGTGAGGGCGAAAATATCATCAATTTGCGCGTGAAAATGTCCTCTTTTTTAGTAGGAAAATATAATAATTTAGCGCGTGAAACTATTACTTTTCGGAGTTGGAAATAATAATAATTTTGAGCGGGATATTTTGTTTTTCAGCGCGCGAAAATCTCATTCCTGTGCGGGGTAAAATAATTATTGTAAACATCAAGCCGGGATTTGACAATTATTAAATGGCGACATAAAAAAAAAAAGTATGGGCATTCACCAAAGAAGCTTACCATAAGTATTTTGTAATAACAGGACGCTAAAGTCATGGGAGGGGGGGGGGGGCGAAAAATCATAAAAAAACGCTATAAAAATCAACCTATTTTTATACTTCCATAATTATTTGCCAATTTTCCCCAGTTTATTCATTTCCACTTTGTCTATTTTCACAATTTACCATTTTTTTCTTTCTAGTCTATTTCCTGATTATTTCCATTTGCAACGTATTTTTTCTGACAATTGCCAATTTACAAATTTTTATCTTATTTATCAATTTTCAACCTTTCTGAACTTTTAACCATTTCCTCTATATTCCAATTTTCTCCCTATTTTCCAATTGCCTCCCTATATTCCCGTGTTCCCAATTTCCTAATTTGCACTCACCTCTACCGTATTTAGCGTTTTGTACCAATTTGCTTATTTCCCATTTCTACCAAATTTCTCCCTATTTTCACAATATTTACTCAATATCTCCACATTTCCCCATTTTACTCACTTTCTCCCCATTTCTCCATTTTAACAATTTCTCCCAATTTCGCTAAGTTCCCACTATTTTCCCATTTTTTCTCCCATCTTCTTCCCCCATTTACCTACTTCCTGGGCCTACCTGTAGTTACGGTAATTAGCTCACTCAGGCCGTGTTCGCCTCTGCCTGTCGCTCCGTCAATGTCGTATTAAACAAAGCGAGCAGACATCTCCGTAAACCTGCCACCCGTGAAGGCTGCTGTTGATATAATCACCTACAGTACTCCTGCTGAGAGGAGAGGGCGGGTGGGTGGGGTTAAAGAGGGTGACTGGTTGGGTGGGTGGGAAGGGTGTGGTTAAAGAAGAGGAAGGGGGTGAAGGTGATGGTTGAGAAAGGGGTAGATGGGTGGGAAGGAAGGGTGAGGTTAAGGAGGAGGAGGGAGGAAGGGAGAGGGACGGAGGTGGTTGAGGTGATGGTTAAGGTTAAAGTGGGAAGGAGGAGGAAGACGCAATGGGTTAGGGAGCGAGGGAGTGAAGGAAAGGGGGTGAGGGGGAGAAAGGAATAGGACTAGAGGGGGTAGGGCAGGGATGGAGGGAAGGTCGTAATTAATAACTATATACATCTTTACTTTTGACAAGGTAGACACTAAACCTAAAGTATACGTCCCTAGTGCCACCCACACTCACCCTTAATACCACCCACACTCACCCTTAATACCACCCACACTCACCCTAAATACCACCCACACTCACCCTTAATACCACCCACACTCACCCCAATACCACCCACACTCACCCAATACCACCCACACTCACCCTAACACCACCCACACTCACCCCAAATACCCACACCCCAAACCCTATAACCCCTCACCCTTAATACCACCCACACTCACCCTAATACCACCCCTCACCCCTAACACACCCACACTCACCCCTAACCACCCCACTCCCACCTAATACCACCCACCTCACCCATAATACCACCCCACACTCACCTAAACCACCCCACCACCCACAATACCACCCACACTCATAATACCACCCACACTCACCCTAAATACCACCCACTCACCTAATACCACCCCTCCCTCTATACCACCCACACCACTAATACCACCCACACTCATATCATACCACCCACTCACCCATTCCACACCCACAACCCACTCACCCCAACACCACCCACTCACCAATACCCACCCACACCTCACCCCTAACACCACCCCACTCCACCCAAATACCACCCCTCACCCTTAATACCACCCACACTCACCCTTAATACCACCCACTCACCCTAATACCACCCCTCACCTAAATACCACCCACTCACCCCTCACCACCCCACTCACCCACATCCCCTCACCCTAAATACCACCCCTCACCCCTAATCCACCCACCTCACCCAATACCACCCACACCACCTAATACCACCCACACTCACCTAATACCACCCACACTCACCCCTAATACCACCCACACTCACCCTTAATACCACCCACACTCTTCATACCACCACCTCACCTAAATACCACCACACTCACCTAATCCACCCACACTCTACCTCATACCACCCACTCACCCCTAGTGCCACCCACACTCACCCTAAATACCACCTACACTCACCCTTAATACCACCCACACTCATCTGGCCTTCCCTACGTAGAGACGATTAACCTTCCCACCCACCCATCCACCTACCTACTCTACTATGCCACCCACCTGTAGCTCACGGATGGGCGGCTCCGTCCTTGGAACGCGGATATAGTGTGTTAATTGTGGTGATGCCCCTATGATACACGACCTCCATACAACGGACCACCTCTTTATAACAAACCACCTCGCTATACCGGACACCTCCACTATATACCGTATAGTTTTGGTACATCAAAGAGTCTGCATATAACAGACAACTTCCGTATACCGACGACTGTATGAAATTACTTTATAAATTTATTCACTAGAGATGGATAAGTTTACGTAATAATAATAAGGATATGAATAATGACAATGTTCTTACAAGAAATAATATTTATTCCTATTATGTTTTATTATTGTTATTATACGTCTAACATTATCAACCGGACCAACCAAACCTTGACCAGCTTACTAAAATGATATTGATTCATTTCCTGACTCAGAGTAGGGGAGGATAGGGGAGGGGTGAGGAGGGGCGAGGAGGAGGAGGGGGGATGGGATGGGGGAGGAGGGGAATGATGGAGAGGGAGGAGGGAGGCAGGAAACGAAGCAAGTTGGAGAGGTGAGTCAGGTCTGAGTTCACACTTGAGTAAGATGAGTGACCATTAGTCAGTGCCAAGGGAAGGGGTGATGCTACTTGGCACCCCTCTTTCTGGCTTCCTCTGACGTCACGCTGGCACCATCCATCCGGGGAAATGGTTGGAGTCGTTGTCTCTCCCTCACTTTTATTAGCACTATATCCAATATAGCACCCTATAACCTATACTGGCACCCTTATACCCTATACTAAAATCCTTTATACCCTATAATGGCACCCTTATACTTCTATACGCACCCTTATACCCTATACTGGCACCCTTATAATTTATACTGGCACCCTTATACCCTATACTGGCACCTTATACTATACTGGCACCTATACGACTTTATACCTATCTGGCACCCTTATATCCTATACTAGCACCCTTATATTCTATACTGGCACCTCATATCTATACTGCACTTATACCCTATACAAGCACCCTTATACCCTATACTGGCACCCTTATACCCTATACTGGCACTTTATATCCTATACTGGCACTTTATACCCTATACTAACCATTCTATATGGCACCTTATACCATACTACCCTTATATTCTATACTGCACCTTATATTCTATACTGGCACCTTATACCTATATTTGGCACTATATTCTATCTGGCACCTCATACCTATACTGGCCCCTTATACCCTATCTGGCACCTTATACCCTATACTGGCACCCTATACCCTATACTGGCACCCTATACCTCTATACTGGCAACCTTATATCCTATACTAGCACCCTATAATTCTATACTGGCACCCTTTATATTCATACTGGCACCCTTATAACTTATATAACTGGCACCCTATACCCTATACTGGCACCTTTATACCCTATACTGCACCTCTTATCTCTATACTGGCACCCTTATATCCTATACTACAATTTTATATCCTATACTAGCACCCTTATACCCTATACTGGCACCCTATAATCCTATACTGGCACCTTATATCCTATACTGGCACCTTATATCCTATTCAGCACCCTTATACTATACTGGCACTTATACCCTATACTGGCACCCTTATACCCTATACTGGCATCTTATACCCTATACTAGCACCCTTATATTCTATACTGGCACCCTTTATATCTATATAAGATCTATATTCTATACTGGCACCCTTATACCCTATACTGCCCTTATACCCTATACTGGCACCTTTATATTCTTATACTGGCACCCTTATACCCTATACTGGCACCTTTATACCCTATACTGGCACCCTTTATACTCTATACTGGCACCCTTTATACCCTATACTGGCACCTTATACCCTATACTGGCACCCTTATATCCTATACTGGCACTTTATACCCTATACTGGCACCCTTATATCCCATACTAGCACCCTTATATTCTATACTGGCACCCTTATATTCTATACTGGCACCCTTATACCCTATACTGGCACCCTTATACCCTATACTGGCACCCTTATATCCTATACTGGCACCCTTATATCCTATACTAGCACCCTTATATCCTATACTGGCACCCTTATATCCTGTACTAGCACCCTTATACCCTATATAGCACCCTATGGCCCTGGGCACTACCCCTGGTCATGGTTACAGTGCCACACCACGAGGCTGTGACCTGACTAGGGAGGAAATGCCTCGGGAAATAAAGGTACTGAAGCTCTCATGACAGACGACCGCCGCCATCATTACGAAAATCGTCTGACCAAGAATAACTGTTAAAATGTCAGGGTGGTTTAGCAAGTGTTCATCATGGCAACGGCGGTGTTCTCGGGGTTATTTATCATGGGGTGTTCTCGACGGGGTGTTCTCAAGGCTACTCACCATGAGGTAGGGTGTTCTTGACGGCATGTTCTCGTGCTCTGAGGGTCTTCAGGGTGAGGTCATGCACGTGATAGAGCCAGGCCGCGCTCATCTCCCTCCTAGGGGGATAGTCCTCCCCTGTAGGCGGGTACTCCTCGGTGGGCGGCCGCCGTCCACCACCCAATCCGCCCACAACTCCCACCAACACGTCTGAACGCATCTGTGGACAAAGACAAGATGACGTCGGTTAATCAAGTCAATCTGACACACACAAGTAAGCAACATCACGCATGATGCATCAACACTTACAGAAACTATCTCCCAGTCAACAAGAACAGAAACTATCTCCCAGTCAACAAGAACAGAAACTATCTCCCAGTCAACAAGAACAGAAACTATCTCCCAGTCAACAAGAACAGAAACTATCTCCCAGTCAACAAGAACAGAAACTATCTCCCAGTCAACAAGAACAGAAACTATCTCCCAGTCAACAAGAACAGAAACTATCTCCAGTCAACAAGAACAGAAACATCTCCCAGTCAACAAGAACAGAAACTATCTCCCAGTCAACAAGAACAGAACTATCTCCCAGTCAACAAGAACAGAAACTATCTCCAGTCAACAAGAACAGAAACTATCTCCCAGTCAACAAGAACAGAAACTATCTCCCAGTCAACAAGAACAGAAACTATCTCCCAGTCAACAAGAACAGAAACTATCTCTCAGTCAACAAGAACAGAAACTATCTCCCAGTCAACAAGAACAGAAACTATCTCCCAGTCAACAAGAACAGAAACTATCTCTCAGTCAACAAGAACAGAAACTATCTCCCAGTCAACAAGAACAGAAACTATCTCCCAGTCAACAAGAACAGAAACTACCTCTCAGTCAATGGGTCAGTAAGTCACTCAGGTTTAGTATTCATAGGGCTAGACGACGCAGGTCAACATCAAATAACAAGTACAGAAGAAGATTTGGAGAAGTGTTCAGACCAGACACCCCAGCGACACAACACTGTCCAAGGGGCCATAACACTACAATACTGACACAAATTACTGATTGTCGAACTCGTCACAGATTTTTTGTATTTAATAATTATGATATATATATATATATATATATATATATATATATATATATATATATATATATATATATATATATATATATATATATATATATTGCTTGGTTAAGAGCCATTAATAATTGTTTGAGTTATCGCTTTTATAATTGCTAGCCGCATGGACGGGCCTACGCACGGTCATAATTATACATCAACCTGTACGCTATCATTATCTTAGTAATTGTTACGATGTGTGTTATCACTGATATTATTACTACTATTACTATTATTTACGCTATTATTATCATTACTACTGCTATTATTATCATAGTAATATAAAAGTCTTACGTGAAAAGCACCAGCTCTGTGGATCCTATATGAGGAAAGGAAGTCAACAATTAAATGAAACTTAGAGCAAAACCTTGAGTGTCCTATTTTTAAAGAGCTCAAGGAAACAACCTCAAAAACTGTGCTGGAGAGAGAGAGAGAGAGAGAGAGAGAGAGAGAGAGAGATCAGGATTAAGAATAATAATTGGGTAGATCAAGAAGTTGTGTGTGTGTGTGTGTGTGTGTGTTAGAGCCCTGGGTATGATGTAGGAGCTCCACACACACCCAACCTCAACACTTGCCTCCAGAAACACACCAACAACAACACAGTATAAACAATAACACCTTAATGACTTAACACCGTGAGAACACCAGCAGGTAAGCATCACACCTGTCGAGAGATCACAGCACCTTAATAACTTATGTGAACTTGTACAGGTAAAGAATGGAAGGAAAGCCTGAACATCCAACCACTGTTCAACACGTACTTACACCTACCAACCACTGTTCAACACGCCCTTACACCTACCAACCACTGTTCAACACGCCTTACACCTACCAACCACTGTTCAACACGCCCTTACACCTACCAACCACTGTTCAACATGCCCTTACACCTACCAGCCACTGTTCAACACGCCCTTACATCTACCAACCACTGTTCAACACGCCCTTACACCTACCAACCACTGTTCAACACGCCCTTACACCTACCAACCACTGTTCAACACGCCCTTACACCTACCAACCACTGTTCAACACTGCCTTACACCTACCAGCCACTGTTCAACACGCCCTTACATCTACCAACCACTGTTCAACACGCCCACATCTACCAAACACTGTTCAACACACCCTTACACCTACCAAACACTGTTCAACACGCCCTTACACCTACCAAACACTGTTCAACACGCCCTTACACCTACCAACCACTGTTCAACACGCCCTTACACCTACCAAACACTGTTCAACACGCCTCTACACCTACCAAACACTGTTCAACACGCCCTTACACCTACCAACCACTGTTCAACACGCCCTTACACCTACCAAACACTGTTCAATACACTACCCCAAAGGTTACCTCCTACTTCACCTTTGTAATCCTCAAACCATAAACTGAGTAAAGAACACTGACTTGTATAAAGGTTATCCCAATGTAAATAACTACAGGAACAATAGATTACACACACAAGGGAAGCTATACACACACAAGGGAAGCTATACACACACAAGGGAAGCTATACACACACAAGGGAAGCTATACAAGTTAAAACAATTAATTAAAGGTCTGGCCCTAATCTCATGCCATAAACAGTGACTTATTAGGGTAAGGTGTAAGGTGTTAAGGATCATTAACTTCAGGTGTATGTATGTATGTATGTATGTATGTACTGAGTAGGTATAATTTGACATATGTTACTGATAGATAGATATAAAAATAGATGATTGATGGAGAGTGAGATAGAGATAAATGAATGAAATAAATTTACTGTTCATGTGGAAAGAAAACGTCGAGAGAGAGAGAGAGAGAGAGAGAGAACACCTTTCCATGGCCACACACCGATACTAAACAAAGAGGAAGACGACTCTGGAACACGAGTCTAAACATCTTACACAGTTACAGTCAGCCAGTCATACAGTCAGTCACCCTTGGAGGTTTACAGCCAGTCAGTCAGTCACCCTTGGAGGTTTACAGCCAGTCAGTCAGTCACCCTTGGAGGTTTACAGCCAGTCAGCCACTCACCCTTGGAGGAAACGACATAGATATCGGCATAGACAGCAACATAAGCAAATTTGCTGATGACACTAAAATAGGACGTGTTATTAAATCTGACGAGGACTCCGCAAAACTACAGGAAGATCTAAAAAAAAATTTCGAATGGTCTGAAAAATGGCAGATGAAATTCAACGTGGACAAAGCACCCAGTATAGGAGATGTAAACAGGGAAACCAGATACCAGATGAACAACGATGCCATAGAGAAATCCGACTGCGAGAGTGATTTAGGAGTAATGATAAGTAGGAACCTTAAGCTAAGTAAACAATGTTTTTTTGCTCGTAACAAGGCTAATAAAGTACTTGGGTTCATACAAAGGAGTGTTAGTTACAAGACTAGCGAGGTCATCCTAAAACTGTATCTTGCTCTTGTGAGACCACACCTGGATTACGCAGTTTCAGTTCACCCAATTCACCATCTGGTACAGAATGGAATTATAGAATCCTTGGAAAATTAGAGGGAATAATGCAAGACTAATCCCGGAGCATTAGGAACCTTGAGTATAGAAGTGGGTTAAAAAACATCATAAATTTGCACCTCCCTCAAGAGATGTAAAGGTGAGGCGACCTGATAGAGGTGTATAGAGTGGAAGGCAAGGAACAAACAAAGGGACATTACAAGGTACAAACTATCCAACCAGGGCAGACTCGCAACAATGGTTTTTAAATTAGACAAATTTAGATTTAGGCGTGAAATAGGTAAACACTGGTTTGGAAACAGAGTAGTGGATGAATGGAACAAGTTACCAAATATCATCATTAACTCGAATACGCTGAATAGCTTCAAACATAGGTTGGATGCTTATATGAGCAATAGGGGTTGGGTGTAAACGGGACTGCCCAGTATGGGCCAATAGGCCCGCTGCAGTTTCCTTCATTCTTATGTTCTTATGTTTACAGCCAGTCAGTTAAGTCACCATTGAAACTTAGAAACAATAAATACAAAATATTAACAATAACAACAACAATAATAATAAATAATAACAATAATCAAATAGTGCCCGCGGTCTCTCCAGATAATCGTGACGTCACACACAGACAGACATCAAAACCTTAATTAACCTCAACACAGTTTCCCTTCGCTGCTGCGTTACGTCATAAAAAAAATACAATTAATAAGTTTATGAGGAAGAACTACAAATAAATTGTGTTATGAATTTACTACAGGTTTCTTAAATAAATCGTAAGTCGATAACTAGTGATGCGAGGACGGCTAAAAATGACATAACCTAAACCTTACTTAATCGGTCCAAATCTAACCTTATGTAACTGAATATAACCTAACCTAACTTAACCTTATTTAGCCAATCTTAACTTTATTTAATCTAATATAACGTAACACTATTGAGTCTTTAACCTAACCATGCTTAATTTAACCAACTAGACCTAACCTAATATAACCTAACCTAACTAATCCTAACCTATTCTCCGACACGCCGTGGTTCACTGCGCAGGCGTACGACAACCAGCTCAGCCTTGTGTATACGTGAAGGTCATGTACACAGGCTGTGACGTACATGGCTACCTCATGAGAGAAGAAGGATCACCTGAAGATTAGACACCCCAGTAGCTTATTTCACCTGAGCATTAACCAACTTAACGCTAACCTACTGTAATTTAACGCTAAGGTAACCTAACGCACAACCTAACCTCACATTTAATCTAACCTAACCCAATTTAACACCAAACTAACACTAATTAATCCTAACTTAACACTAAACTAACCTAACTAATTTAACCCAAATTAACACTATACTAACCTAACACCAATGTAACACTAAACTAACATTAATTCAGATAAGGTAGTTATGGGTGCAGTCTAAGTGTAAGATATCCGCCATTTTGTCCTAATTTTGTATAGATTGCGAAAGTTTGAGAATCAGGGAAGGGGGAGGGGGAGAAGAGTCACGGGTCAAAAGGTCACGGGTATTCATCACCCACCAATAGAAACGTCACTTTAAACTCGCCCGCCAATCAGCGTCTGTCAGTACCAAGTTGTAAACGTCTTATAAATAATAAACACGTAAACAAAAACATAAACATAAACATTACACAAATAAAAATATACAGAAAATACAAAAAAAAACTACAAAATACAATTATTATAACCCAATATTTATAAATTGTTATATATGGGTGATATGCATATGTGTTACTGATAATAGACGTCCAGGTATGTATCTATCTACACTAATGGCAAATGTAGTAAAATAATATCAATGCTTAATGAAGGTCAATTAAAGAAACGTTCATTAATTATCAAAACTTAATAATACAATAAGATCTACCTGTCCAGCACAAGGCCGCACCTCCTACCTTTTGTTAATAAGTGACGATGAACGCGGAAATAAAAACCCAAGTCACAGGTTTACCACTTTATAGAAACCAGACACTACCGCTCACGTCTTTACTCCGCAACGTCTGACAGAGGACTAATTTTCCCAAGTTTGAAAACCCATATGGTTCTAATTTCTCCCAAATGTCGTACTGTGTTTCCTTAAAAAAAAAAAAATAGAGCTTGTAATCTACTATTTTTTCCCGGTTTTATAAGTTTATAAATTGTTATATAGAGAAAAGATTCTGCATATTTGTATGTAGTTTAGGAAAACGTATTTAGTTGGAGAGTGATATTTGGAGGGTGGGACAGCGTTGTTGTTATTGGGATCGTGCGTCTGGTAGCTGAGTGGAGCGGAAGTTAGCCTCGGTACAGCTGACACCAACTTCCCGCGCCGCGACCTCTGATGGCCGGGCACGGAAATCACTCACACTCGCCGCACAAAGAAATGTAAAACTGGTAAATATGCTGTAAATAACCCGCACCGATACGAAGAGACGCCTACCTGCATACCTGGCCGGGGGAGTGTAAATTACCGTCCCCCTCCCAAACATGCCATGAAAACGGGATTATCTTAAAATTGTTCCTGCTGAGACGCACGAAGAACTAAAATAGTCTTATTTTGCAGTTATTATTTTAAAAAAAAACCTCTTTCTGAGGTATTAGTGAAATATGTCTTGAGCGCAGTAAGTACCAGCATACCTGAACAAGGGTGTTGATTACCTCTCTACCATTAACACGGGGTTTTCATTTCAACAATATCTCACGCTTGGACGCACAAAGAATTACATATTACTGAATGGCTATATCATATAATAACATATACAGTATATTGAGTTGTTTCTAAGGAGTGAGTAATATAGCCTACTTCTGAACTAATACTGTACGTTTATCATGTGAAAATTATCTAGATTATACAACCGATATATAATATTTGCATAAATGCTAATGTTGATTGGTTTTAATTTTGCTGAGTCTCTACCACACACTGTACTATGGTTTTATCAAATTTGATGACGTTTTGCTTTTATTATTCTAACTTGATGTGTAGGTAACGTTATTAAAGACAATGTTTACCTATACTTTGCGTTATGATAATCTATCTACATGTTCGATCATATAATACTGTATACACCTGGTGGAGTCCTCTGTGTGTGTGTGTGTGTGTGTGTACAATGTACTGTTACATAGGCAGTGCAGGTATAATGTATATCGACAGTGCAGGTATATACACGATGTATACATGTGTACAGGGTGATTCAGCAAAGAGTTCATTAAATTGGAGGATGAAATCCTTGAATAATTCTAAACCACAGGGTCTCTATGATAAAATGTCACATTCTACATATGCCCACGTGTTCATGACAGGTGCGAGCAAATTAAACATAGTCCAGGCATTCTGGGACGCGTCAGACAATTAATGGTACGACGTGCACAGGCCTGCATTGAGGCAGAAGGGGGCAACTTTGAACATTTCCTTTAGGTTGTAACAAAGAGGTGTCACATTGTAGAGATCTGTGAATAAATGATTACAAAACCTACGGGGGTTCCACTTCAAATTCACTCTCATTAATACAACAACTTAAATGTATTATAACATGGAGACTATGCAGAATCTGACATTTTACCAAAGAGACATTGTGGTTTAGAATTATCCAATGATTTCATCCTCCAATTTAATGTACTCTTTGCTGTATACAGCTTAGGTATACAAACAATGTATATAGACAGTGCAGATATACATTCAATGTATATATACAGCGCAGGTATACAGTGTATATAGACAGTGCAGGTATACAATGTATATAGACAGTGTATGTATACACACAATGTATATAGACAGTGCAGATATACATTCAATGTATATATACAGCGCAGGTATACAGTGTATATAGACAGTGCAGGTATACAATGTATATAGACAGTGTATGTATACACACAATGTATATAGACAGTGCAGATATACATTCAATGTATATATACAGCGCAGGTATACAGTGTATATAGACAGTGCAGGTATACAATGTATATAGACAGTGTATGTATACACACAATGTATATAGACAGTGCAGATATACATTCAATGTATATATACAGCGCAGGTATACAGTGTATATAGACAGTGCAGGTATACAATGTATATAGACAGTGTATGTATACACACAATGTATATAGACAGTGCAGATATACATTCAATGTATATATACAGCGCAGGTATACAGTGTATATAGACAGTGCAGGTATACAATGTATATAGACAGTGTATGTATACACACAATGTATATAGACAGTGCAGATATACATTCAATGTATATATACAGCGCAGGTATACAGTGTATATAGACAGTGCAGGTATACAATGCATATAGACAGTGCAGGTATACAAACAATGTAGGTCCAAATGTTTTCCCTCCCAACCAGTAATAAGCTCGGTAATGAATGACATATTGTATTTTTTTACGATACTGTACTGATGACGTAACAGGCACAGCACGTCGACTGTGACCCGCGGTAGGGAGGGGGGGTGACAGCTGGTTGTGGTGTTAATGGTGGTAGTGGTGGTGGGGGTTGTAATGGTAATAATAGTGGTGATGATAGTAGCAGTAGTTGTAGTGTAGTGGTGATGGTGATAGATACTCGGAACAAATAACACAACTGTCAGATTAGGAGAAAATTTCACCGGGAAGGGGTCAGTTTAGGTTAGGTTAAGTTAGGTTAGGTTAGGTTAGGTCAGATCACATTCACACCCAGACCACGACCCACACCATCATCCACACTCACACCCAGACCCACACCAACACCCACATCCCACACACCCACACCCCACACTCCACACCCCACACACCCCACACACCCCACACCCCACACACCCACACCCTTATAACCCCACCCACACCCACACACCCACACCCCACCCACACCCCACACCCACACCCACACCCCACAACCACACCCACACCCACACCCCACATCCACACTCCCCCAACACACCCACACACCCATACCCCACAACTGCACCCCACACCCACACCCCACACCCACACCCCACAACCTCACCCACACCCACAACCCACACCCACACACCCACACCCCACACTCACACCCCACACACCCACACCCCACACCCACACACACCACACCCACACACCCACACCCGCACCCACACCACACACCCACACCCCACACACACCCACACCCCACATCCACACCCACACCCCACACCCACACCTATACCCCACAACCACACCCCACACACCACACCCCACAAACCCACACCCCACACCCACACCCCACACCCACACCCCACACCCCACACCCCAAACCCACACCCCACACCCACATCCCACACCCCACACCCACACACCCACACCCCACACACCCACACCCACACACCCACACCCCACACACCCACACCCCACACACCCACACCCCACACTCACAAACCGCACCCACACCCCACACCCACACCCCACACTACATTTCGTATAATATCAGGGAATAATGACAAGTAACGTTTTCTAGCGGTTTCTAATATTATCAATTATTACCAAGTTACTGAAGCCTCGCACTAGTTGATGGAATAAGTTTTTCCTCGTGTCTTTTTATGAGCGTACAATTATTTTTCTTATTTCATTGTTGTGATTAAAGTTGTGAGTTGGTTAATGTACAATTGTGGGTTATTAGTGTTATTATTGTTATTGTTATTATTGTTATTACTATTATTTTTATTTTTTATTATTATTTATTATTGTTATTATTATTTTATTATTGCTATTTTCATTTGGTTCCGCTCCACAAAATCAAGGTAAGGATAGTTCATTGTATGTATAATAATAATAATAATAATAATAATAATAATAATAATAATAATAATAATACTAATAATAATAATAAACGGTTTATTAATAGAGTTGCAGCCGGTGGCTGAAAATACGTATGTATGTATGTATGTATGTATGTATCGGCCCCAATTCGTATAGTTTTTGACTGACTTTTCAGATATTGCAAATGTTGACACAAATGTTGCAATATTAAACAACTGTTGCGAAGAAGGTGTCTGAAATACAAGAAAACTTTTCGTAAGAATGAAATGTTAATTTTTCATGTTGCATATTCACGAGAAATTTGAAATAATGGCTAAAACTTGCCAGAATTGTGAATAGTTTTTATATTATTATTATTATTATTATTATTATTATTATTATTATTATTATTATTATTATTATTATTATTATTATTATTATTATTCACCAAAGGCTTCTTAAAATAACTTTAAACAGAGAGAAGGAAAAAAGGGAAGAGGAGGACGAAGAGGAATAAGAAAAAGAAAAACTAGACTCAGGGGGAACTATTACCAGACCACAGGGGTTGTGAGACCAAGTTGCCCCGGGCGGCTGTGTGGCGTCCCTACTTATTTTACCCCCAGCGCCACCCTGAGCAGAGCTGGTGTGTGTTTGTGTGAGTGAGTGTGTGTGTGTGTGTGTGTGTGTGTGTGTGTGTGTGTGTGTGTGTGTGTGTGTGTGTGTGTGTGTAAGGGTGGCCAACAGAACTATTACAATAATTAGTCGCCGCTTAATTAACCAGACAACTGTAATTAGTTAGGTCTCATATCTACCTGGGGAGGATCTGGGGAAAATTGACTACTTTGGGAGGATCTGGGGAAAATTGACCAACTGGGGAGGATCTAGGGGAAATTGACTTACCTGGGGAGAATTTAGGGAGAAATTAACCTACTTGGGGAGGATCTGGGGAAAAAAACAAACCAACTCGGGGAAAATGTGGGGGAAAATGACTCGCCTGTGGAAAATATGGGGGAAATTGATCCACCTGGGAAGGATCTGGGGAAAATTTACTACCTGGAGAAAAAGTGGGGTAAATTGATCAGCTTCGGTAGGATCTGCGGGAAATTTACTTACCTGAAAGAATTCAGGGGAAAACTGACTCACCTGGGGAGTATCTAAGAAAAAAAACTGGCTACTTGGGAGGATCTGGGGGAAATTGACCAACCTAAGAAGACTCAGAGGGAAACTGTACTTTCAAGGGGAAAATTTGTTGGGGAAATGACCATTTCAGAGGATCTGGGGGAACT